TCCAGGCTGTGGAAAGATCCCAACTTTAACCGCCATCCTATAGCAGAACTACTGTTACAGGGCGGCAGGGCTGCGCAAAATCACATATACAGTATATGTGAATTTGCATTCACGGGTAGTGGGCACTCGCGCACGCCACCTACCCTCGCTGCCATTGGCGGCTACAGCTATTGATAACCGGAGATTCTCCACCGGCATTTGGTGATCGCCGAGGAACAGTGACAGGGGAGAGGTCTGTTTGTAAACAACACAGATCTCTCCTCTGTCAGCACAAAGAGGCTGCTTTGTATTCCTCTGCACAGCAGTCGCAATCCCGCAGTCCTGCAGTCATGCTATAGGTCGATGATCGCCATTATTAGCATAAAAAACAACAACAAATGCCAGTATATATATCGCCATTTGTAGACGCTATAACTTTCACGTAAACCAATTGATTTACATGTATTGGAATTTTTTTTAGCAAAGACATGTAGCAGAATACATTTTGGCCTAAATTTATGATGAAATCTAATTTTTACAATTTTTTACTGGATATGTTTTTTAGCAAAAAGTCAAAAGTATTGTTTTTTTTCCTCAAAATTGTAAGTCTGTTCTTGTTATAGCGCAAAAATAAAAACGCAGAGGCAATCAAATACCACTGAAAGAAAGCTATATTTGTGGGGAAAAAAAGTACATAAATATAAATATCTTTTGGGTGCAGCGTTGCATGATCACGCAATTGTTAATTAAAGTAACGCAGTGCCGTATCACAAAAAATGGCCTGGTCAGGAAGGGGGGTAAATCCTCTGGAGGGCAAGTGGTTAAAGTGGGGATCTACCCAGATGCCTGGACTGGCATCTGGCTCAGTTTGTCAATAAGCCACTGAGAGCCTGAGGGAGCTGCTCCCTCCCCCTCCACAGCCCAGTCCTCCAGTGAGTGCTGGGGGGGGGGGGGGCAGAGTAAACAGTGTTGACAGTTCCGGCTCTCTGCTCAGAATGGCAGGGAGAACTGAGTGATCAGCAGTGTTTGATGGCTCAGTTCTCACCCTTATAGCTGGCAGAGGACCACATAGGTAAGTATGATTTAAAAAAAAAACATACTTTTCTTTTAACCAAAGAAATCTTTCTTTTTGCGGGCGGCAAAAGTCATCAACGTTCCAGGTGGACGCCATATGCGCAGATTGCGCTCCTGCAGAGCGGTGCAGCGGCGCGATCTGTCACCGGCCGTGTACCTTGGACACGGCCGATGACAGATCTGAGTATCGGCCCCGTTGCCGGTACCATGTGACCTGCTGTGACCAATCACAGCAGGTCACATGACAGCTGTATACAATGGATGCTATAAGCAAATTGTGTAAAAAAAAAAAAAATACTGATCACTTCCCCATAGTAGTACAATGTTACTATGGTAACATTTTACTACTTTGGTCATAGTGAAATATAAAAATAAATCTTAAAAAAATTTTTTTTTAATAAAAAATAATAAAAAAATAAAATATATAATATATATGTATAATTTTTTTTTTTCATACTGTCACCAGTCAGTGTCCCTGATCACCGCCATGACAGTTATATGATGATGCTGTACTGCACTGGTGACAATATGTAAAAAAAAAAATAGTGAAACTAATTTTTTTAATTTTTTCATTTTCCGAAAAATTATGACAAAAAAAATACAGCTTCTAAAAAATTCGCCATGCCTCTTATGAAGTACATCGGACTGTCTACTTTGCAAAAAGGGGTCATTTGTGGGATATCTGTACTGTTCTGACATTCTTGGACCTCCAGAAATTAGATTGGCTGTCAGTACTTCAGGACTGATCAATATTCAGATCTATACCATAGTTTGTGAACTCTATAACTTTCCTACAAACTAAAAAATACATCCTAATTTGGGTTTGTAGCAGAATACATCTCGGCCTAAATTTATGAAGAACAATTATTTATTTGCAAACTTTTATAACAGAAACAAAGAAAAATTTTTGGTCTTTTTTTGTTAATTTAGCAAGAAATAAAAAACCCAGTGGTGATTAAATACCACCAAAAGAAAGCTCTAGTTGTGTGAAGAAAATGATAAAATTTTAGTTTGGGTACAATGTTGTATGACCGCGCAATTGTCATTCAAAGTGTGAGAGCGCTGAAACCTGAAAACTGGCCTGGGCAGGAAGTGGGTAAAATTGCACGGTATTGAATTGGTTAAAGATTAACCAAAGTCAACTCTATCCGGTAAACAATGCAACTGTGCTGAATTGAAAAAACTCAATTTAATTTACTTTTGCTACAATGAGCATAAAAAAATGTAACATGTTATACACAGGGAGCATATCACCTTCCCACTGTTTCATTAATTTCCTAGGCTTTGCCTAGTGAAGTACTTCTTAGGGAGGTTTTTGGTGCCTTTTACAACTAAAAAGAAGAAAATAGCCTAGACTGCACTATGGCCTCGTTCATACTGAAGTGTAACCCTGTGCAGGCAGTCCCACTGATGTCAACTGAGACCTAAACTTCTTTGTGTGTTGTTTTTTCCAAATTTTGGTAGCTCAGTCTATTCAGTCCTGGTTCATACTAGTACACAGTGAGGGAAACCCTTGATCTGTGCGCATTTCCCACATCGTGTTCAAAATTCACTGTCCTTGTGATCTGCAGCGGGTGTCAGTGCAATGTTAGCTACATCCCAAATGCAGTTTGTAAACTGCACCAAATCGAATAGTACAAGACTACCATGTGTTCTGGTTCCAGTGAATTTCCAAAAGCAATGCATGTACTACTTCTGGTGCCATGCAGTGTGATTTGAGCTAGACATGTGCGATTTTTTTTGTTACAAATCAAAATTCAGATGAAATCACAATAATAACACATTTTAATAAATCTGAAATAAATTATAATGAAAACAACAAATTTGTTTGTATTCATTTGTATTGTTTGTTTGCAACTTAACCACTTGCCTACCAGGCACTTATACCCCCTTCCTTACCAGGCCAATTTTCAGCTTTCAGCGCTGCCGCACTTTGATTGACAATTGCGCGGTCATGCAACATTGTACCCATATGAAATTTTGATCATTTTTTTTTCTCACAAATAGAGCTTTCTTTTGGTGGTATTTAATCGCCACTGGGTGCTTTACTTTTTGCGCTATAAATTAAAAATGTGCAAAAAATTTGAAAAAAAAAAAAAAGTTTATTTGTTTCTTTTATAAAATTTTTCAAACAGGTATTTTTTCTCCTTCACTGATTTGCGTTGATGAGGCGGCACTGATGGGCACTGATAGGCGGCACTGATGGGCACTGATAGGCAGCACTAAAGGGCACTGATAGGCAGTACTAATGAGGTGGCACGGATAGGCGGCACTGATAGACAGCACTAATTAGGGGTCACAGATAGGCGGCACTGATATGCAGCACTGATAGGCGGCACTGATAGGTGACACTGATGATGGGTACTGATAGACGGCACTGACTGGCATCACTTCTGGGCACTGACTGGCGGCACTGACTGGCACAACCCCTGGGCACTGACTGGTGGCACTGACTGGCAGCACTGCTGGGCTGCACTGGTGGGTGGCACTGGTGGGCAGCACTGGTGGGTGGGCACAGGTGGGCGGCACTGGTGGGCACAAGTGGGTGGCACTGGTGGGCACAGGTGGGTGGGCACAGGTGGGTGGCACTGCTGGGCACATGTAGGTGGCACTTCTGGGCACAGGTAGGTGGCACTGCAGAGTGGCACAGGTGGGTGCACTGCTGGGCACAGGTGGGGGCACTGCTGGGCACAGGTGGGGGCACTGCTGGGAACGGGTGGGCGGGGCTAGTGGGCGCACTGCTGGGCGGAACTTGCGGGTGTCACTGCTGGGCACCGATCATCAGGGCACTGATCATCAGTGCCCTGATGATCGGTGCCGATCCCCGCTCTGACAACTGCCGGTTCTCGGCAGTACTTTCCTCACGATCTGACAGCGTGAGGAAAGTGCAGCCGAGAACCGGCACTTGCATTTCCCTGTGATCAGCGTGTCATTGGACACCGCTGATCACGTGGTAAAAGGCCGGTGGGATCGGCCTTTCACCACATCACGTGATCAGCTGTGTCCGTAGGACACAGCGATCACGGAGATCGCCGGGTGCGCGCCCCCTGGGGCGCGCAGGAGAGCGCGTTCTGGGAGGACGTCATATGACGTCCACTCAGAACTGGCCGGCCGCGGTGAAGCCGTCATTCGGCTATGCGCGGTCGGCAAGAGGTTAAGAGGGTTTTGTAAGTTCAATAATATGTGTCACACTAAATTTTTATGATTGGCCAAAGTCGCAGAACATCAAAGTCGCAAGCAAGCTATATTGATATCGTAAGCATGTAGTAAGGCATCCAAGTCGCATTGAAGTCACAAGTAAGTTGCAATACAAAGTAGCACATACGCTATATTGCAAAAAGTATTGGGACGCCTGCCTCTACACGCACATGAACTTTAATGGCATCCCAGTCTAAGTCCATTGGGTTCAATATTGAGTTGGCCCGCCATTTGCAGCTATAACAGCTTCAACCCTTCTGGGAAAGCTGTCCACAAGGTTTAGGAGTGTGTCTATGGGAAGGTTTGACCATTCTTCCAGAAGCCCATTTGTGAGGTCAGGCACTGATATCGGACAAGAAGGCCTGGCTCGCAGTTTCCGATCTAATTCATCCCAAAGGTGTTCGCTCATCCATGTCTTTATGGACCTTGCTTTGTGCACTGGTGCACAGTCATGTTGGAACAGGAAGGGGCAATCACCAAACTGTTCCCACAAAGTTGTAAGCATGAGATTGTCCAAAATGTATTGTATGCTGATGCCTTAAGAGTTCCCTTCACTGGAACTAGGGGGCCAAGCCCAACCCCTGAAAAACAACCCCACACCATAATCCCCTCTCCACCAAATTTTACACTTGGCACAATGCAGTCAGGAAAGTACCGTTCTCCTGGGAACGGCCAAACCAGACATGTCCATCGGACTGCCAGACGGAGAAGGGTGATTGGTCACTCCAGAGAACACGTCTCCACTGCTCTAGAGTCCAGTGGCGGCGTGCTTTACACCACTTCATCCCACGCTTTGCATTGCACTTGGTGATGCAAGGCTTGGATGCAGCTGCTCGGCCATGGAAACCCATTCCATGAAGCTCTCTACGCACTGTTGTTGTGTTAATCTGAAGTCCACACGAAATTTGGAGGTCTATAGCTATTGACTATTTGACGACTTCTGGTCTTTAGCTACTGACTCTCTGCAGACAGTTGGCCACTTCTGCGCGCTTCAGCATGCGCTGACCCCCCTCTGTCATTTTACATGGCCTACCACTTTGTGGTTGAGTTGCTGTTGTTCCCAATTGCTTCCACTTTGTTATTATACCACTACCAGTTGGATGTGGAATATTTAGTAGCAAGGAAATTTCACGGATGGTGTGGCAACCTATCACGGTACCTCGCTTGAATTCACTGAGCTCCTGAGAGCAGTCTGCATGCCTAGGTGCTTGATTTTATACACTTGTGGCCATGGAGATGATTGGAACACCTGAATCCAATGATTTGGAGGCGTGTCCCAATACTTTTGGCAATATAGTGTATGAATGAATCTTCTGAAATAACTTCCGAAAATACCCTCCAATTCAAAGCAACGAATGTACAAAACAAATTTGAATATGTGAAAAAAATTCAGAAAATTAATCTTTCTAACCAAAGCTAAAAAAATATTTTCATCATGCACATTTCTAATTTGAGTCCATTCAGAAAGAATGGGCCTGTAAATCTGCTGGAATTTGACTGCTTTTAAAGATCTCTTGAAAGTTTATTTACATGTGCATTACTTGTTGCTCAACTGAAATGATATATTTTAGCACTAGGTGGCACTAGTTACCTACAATAGAACAACATTTTATAGATGGGGATTCACATTGTAAAAACAAGTTAAAAGCTGACTGCATACTTTCCAAGAGCTGACTAATTCTAAAGTCATTGCCGGATGATATAAATAATAGTAAGAACAAAACAGGGTTAGAACACCACAGCGTTATGTACAGTTATGCTGTTTGTTTTTGCTATTACTTTTCAGGGTTATATACAGTTGATGAGAAAAGCATTCATCACTACTGGTAACAATATTCAATAGTTTGGATTCTTAAGTCATAATTTAAGGTATATGTAAACCCAACATTTCACATTGTTGTCTTTGTATTGCTTCCTTTGTGTGAAACACCTTGTGTTCCTGCAAGTCCCTCTGCTTCCCTATTACTAGTACTTATGTGGCACTATCAATTTACACAGCACTTTACACACACACACATATATATATATTTGTACATTCACATCAGTCCCTAACTCTTAAGGGGCGTACAATCTAAGGTCCCTAACTCACATTCATACATACACATACTAGGGCCAATTTAAACAGGAGTACCTGGAGGAAGCCCGAGTACCTGGAGGAAACTCATGCAGGCACAGGGAGAACATGCAAACTCCAGGTAGGTGGTGCCATGGTTGGGACTTGAACCAATGACCTTAGTACTGCACATTTAGCCACTGTGCTGCCCATAATAAAAACTGACCACATGAAGCAGGAGAACACACTGTGGTCAGTTCTCTAGCGGTGCTGGGAACGTAGCCTACTCTCTTCCAATGATCAGACATTTCCTGACACCCCCCCGCACAGCCATTCACTGGGAAGATCAGCTTGCTCCTGTTTCTCCTCCCCCAGCTCTCTAAGTTCCTTATGCAGCTGAGAACAGATGTATGTGCTCACATAAAAAAGGGGAAAAAGATATTTATAATATTTTTTATATTTATACACATCTGTTTTGCCTTTCATTTAAATTTTTAAATGGAATAGGTTGTTTTATATGGTGTGGGTTTACAATCACTTTAAGTTCAGTAAACCATACAAAGTAATCAGAATTTACTCTGCTGAAGTCAGATCAGTTTATGATGAATGTATCAGTTTTTCTCAACTGTTTTCCAGTCGGGGCACCCTTGAAAAGTAATTTCAGTCACAAGGCACCCCTGTTCAAGGTTTGGTTCACATTACTGTGTGTCGCGGAACGCACGCCAAATCGTGCTCATTCCTGACGCGCAGACAAATGCTCTGCTCTTTAGGGGTACCCCATACATTGGCAAACGTGGGGTGTTTTTGGTGTGGTTTTAAAAAAAAGGGTCAGGGATGACTTTCCCTGCATTTCTGCGGGTAAGGCAGACCATTGAAATGAATGTGCTGCCCTACACACAGCCACACAGATGTGAACCAAGGGCTTGTTCACTTGTGAGGTTGGAGGGAAGTAAAACCACACAATTGATCTGCTTTTACCACCCCCAACTGCTCCCCCTTTAGCTGCGGAAGCAGCAGCTGGGGGTATACACATGCTGTGGCCCCAATGTAAGTATACCTCAAGGTGAATAGGGTTGAACTACAACCACCCCGCAACTGTGCACGCGGTTGTGGTGTGGTGATGCTGCATTTATGGGGTGAACACATTTGGTGAGAAGGCAACTTGTTGCCTCTTTACCACCTTTCAAATGCCTCTGAAAAGTGATCTGAGCATGGATTGCTTTTCAGAGAAGCAGTAGTCCTTGCTGCTATTATGAACAAGTCCTAAAAAAGCAGTTCTGAAAGGACAAGAATGGGGGGTTAGGATTAAAAATAGCATACATGCACACACGTATAAAAACAAACACACACAGTAAAACACACACATACAAATGCATGTACACACACACACATACAAACACATGTATGCACACAAACACATTTACAAAAACACATGTACATACACACATACAGACATATGTACACACACACACAACACACAGATACATGTATAAAAAAAATTGTACACACACACACACAGACACATATATACACACACAGACACATGTACACTTATACATACACACTGACACATGTACACACACACACAGACACATATATAACACACACAGACACATGTACACTTAACATACACACTGACACATGTACACACACACACAGACACATATATACACACACAGACACATGTACACTTATACATACACACTGACACATGTACACACACACACAGACACATATATACACACACAGACACATGTAGATTTACACATACACACAGACACATGTACACATACACAGACAGACACATGTACACTTACACATACACACACATACATGTATACACATAGACACATGTACACACACACAGACACATGTACACTTACATACACACAGACACATGTACATATAGACACATGTACACTTACACATACACACACACACACATACATGTATACACATAGACACATGTACACACACATACAGACACATGTACACACAGACACATGCACACACATACAAACACATCTATACAGCCCTATAAAAAGTTACAGTACCTTAAAGCGAAGTTCAGCTTGTGAATGGTCCTGTAGTCTTCTGGGACCTGTCACGTGTCCCAGAAGACTACAGGGAGGGAGGGGGGAGGACAACTTGCAATTACCTAGGCGATCGCAGCAGAAGTGGGAGTGGGTGCCTGTCAAATTTGGGTACCCGCTCTCCCCCTGCTCCCCAAAGGTGCCAATCCCAATCCTTATAGGGGAGCGGGGGACAAAACGACTTAAAGCCGAACTTCCCCTTTTGGGTGGCACTCCCCCTCCCTTTGCTTTCACTTTGTTTAGCAATCTGATGGCTCCCAGTGCCGGTGATCAGGACGCTGGTATGCATATGGCAGGGATCAGGGCACTGGTGTGAGGTGGCGGGGATCAGGACGCTGCTATGGCATATGGCAGGGATCAGGGCACTGGTATGAGGTACGGCGGTGATCAGGACGCTGCTATGGCATATGGCAGGGATCAGGGCACTGGTATGAGGTATGGTGGTGATCAGGACGCTGGTAAGGCATATGGCAGGGATCAGGGCACTGGTATGAGGTACGGCGGGGATCAGGATGCTGCTATGGCATATGGCAGGGATCAGGGCACTGGTATGAGGTACGGCGGGGATCAGGACGCTGCTATGGCATATGGCAGGGATCAGGGCACTGGTATGAGGTACGGCGGTGATCAGAACGCTGGTATGGCGGTGATTAGAACATTGGTATGGTGTATGGCCATGTTATTGTGTGCACTGGGACAGGTGACAAGGCTGGCTGGATTGTTTATTATAGACTACAATGGGCAGTGATCAGGGACACTGGGGTAGCTGGCACTCCATTTTGTGAGTGTACTTGCAGTCTGACAGGCTGCTGTACACTCACAAACTGCTGCATCACTTCTCTCTGCTTTCACACCGAGAGCAGAGAGAAAATATCTTAACTTTCAATTTCAATGTTTACCACGTGAGTGCTGTGATTGGTCACAGTAGTCACGGGCTCACGGGTGCACACTCTGTGAGTAGCGCAGGAGTTATCGATGCAGGCTAACATACAGGTACATTAGCCCGCATCAGTAAAGCTTCCCATCCACCCATTGCCTATAGACCGCGGACAGGAAGGTTAATGGCACTGGTGATGTCAGTGGCAGTTAGTTCCCATAAAGTATCAGTTAGTGTCAGATTGGCCGCCGCACTACTGCAGTCCTGTTATAAGTCACTGATCACCGCCTTTACTAGTATAAAAATAAATAAATAAAAATTCCAGTATATAACTCATAGTTCGTAGACGCTATAACTTTGACACAAACCAATCAATGTGTACTTATATTTTTCTTTACCAAAGACATACATTTTGGCCAAAATTTATTAAAATATTAAAAAAAATTTTTATGGGATGTTTTATAGTAGAAATTAAAAAATATTGTTTTTCTCTTTCAAAATGTGTTGGTCTTTTTTCTTTGATATGATAAAAAAAAAAAAAAAAAAAAAAAAACCCAGGGCTCTATTTGCTCTAAAATTGAATGGTCATGGAGGGGGATAAATCTTCAGGAGGGAAAGTGGTTTTTAAAAGGAGTAGGCTAAAAATAATTGAAAGAAAATGTGGAAAAAAATATATGATTTTACATTTTGATGGAAGTGGTCTTTTATACATTCACTTAATTTTTTTGTATCACCAGTCACATCCAGTCCGGTTTGAATGTTATTGGTGGCTATAATTTCCTCTTCTTCATAAACAATCAGAAGTTAACAATTCATCAAATAACAAACAAAAGGGCAGACAAAAAGGATTTCCCAGCTAGCCTGCAAAAAAAAAAGATTTAAAAAAATGCACCGTCTAACAATTTGCTCTAAAAACAGAGGTTTTAGTTGCCCATTGGCAAAAATATATGTAAAAGCCTTATTGTCTCATCAAGGCTACTCTATACAGTAAAATAAAAAATAAAAGAATAGAATAGAAAAGAATAGAGGAAAAAAGAACAGAATAGAAAATAAAAGAATAGAACAGAATACAGTAGAAAATATTATAGTAATACAGAACAAAATAAAGAAAAGAAAATATAGGAATAGAAAAGAATAGAATCCATTAGAATAGAATAGAAAATGTTTAGAAGAGAAAATCAAAGAATAGAATAGAAAAGAATAGAAAAGATTAAAATAGAAAATAAAGGAATAGAAAAGAATAGAATCAATTACAATAAAATAGG